TCAGTTTTACATATATAATATATCAAATTAATCATCTTTTGATGATCTTCGATTTGACATCCATATTGTATATATGAAATAAATAAATTATATTTATCTTTATAATAATAATATTTATTAAAATTCATTAGAAAAATAAAATTATTTCTCAATTGATATATTTATGTTTAATGTAGGTATTTGTTGTAAGTTAAAAAAAAAATATTACAGTATAACACATGTAAGTCGCATAAATAAAATGTGTTATATTAACTATATAATAATATATATATATTTTTATAAAATGTATTTAGATTTTCAACTATTTTTCTCATTAATTTTATATTTTAAAAAAAAAATTAGCACACACCCGTGTAATACACGGGCGTTGTACTAGTAAATATGATTTTGAAAAATAATTTTATACTAAAATGCATTCGTAAAATTAATATTGGTATTAAACATCGATTATAATAGGTCATGGGCATGAAATTTCTTGCTTTCTCGATACATGGAAAAATATAACATGCAACGTAAAATATTCTGTCCTTTTTTTTAATTATATATATATATATATATATGTATATATATATATATATATATATATTTCTATTGTTGGGGAGAATTTCTGCACCAATAATTAAAAGCAAAAAAAGAAAAAAAAAAAAAGAATTAGATACATTTATTTTATATAAACGCTATTTTAATAAAAGTTATCATTATATTTTGCGGAATGCTTTCTGCGTACTATAGCAGTACATTATTTACAGTGTCAGCGAATTTAAGGACGGTGTAGTTTATTATTTAACAGAATTCAGTAATATTAATTTGATAATCCGTAAATATTACAATGTAGCTCGGCAAGACTCGTTTGCAGCTTTAGTTGTTAAACTTAAACAACAAACCAAAATTAGTTTATTAAGAAAATGGAACCTTTTGACCTTTTAAGTTTTTAAGCATTGATTTATATAGATGGATGCATAACAATGTTCAACAAGACAAAACAATAATGGTATTTTGCACCAACCACCAAACCATAGCAAATAAAATTTTAAACAAGAATCATCAGATATTTCCAACACATTTAAGGAAAAATTTCCAAGTAATGAAAAAAAAAAA